AAACCCATCGTCCTTGGCGGTTGTTGTTGTTGCCACGGTTGGTGTTGTTGTTGTCGCCGTAGATGGGGCACTCCTTTGCATAATGTCCAGGTTGGCGACAGCGACGGCAAGCATTGTTGTTTTTACACCATTCGCGTTCCTGAGGGGTCAGGGAAGGGGGATTACCATTGTTGTTGTTGTTTCGGGGGCCGTTGTTGTTATTGTTGTTGCGGTTGTAGTTATTGTTATGAGCCATGTTTCTCTCTAGGCGATTAAATCGTTGGGTGATATTGTTGAGGGCGATCTGGATGTTGTCGATTTCCATGGGGGTGGCTTGAGAGAGAGCGGAGGAAGAGGTGAAGGAAGAAATAATGGGGGCGGAGGCGATGGCGAGCGAGTTGGTCTTGGGGCCGGTGTCGGGTTTGAAGGAGTAAATGCGGTCTATCTCTTGGGCGTATTGAAAGATCTGAATGAGGGTGATATTGGGGTTTTGAATAATGTGTCCTTCGATCATCTGTTGAAGAACCAAGGGGCAGTTGTCGATAAAGGATGTTTGGGCGAACTCGTTGACCGTGGTCTTGGCAGCGTCGGTGGAGGCATAACCAAGGAGGGCGCCCAAAAGTTCCTTGAATGTAGATAAGTAGGTCGAAAAGTTGGTGGTCATGCGAAGATTGGTGAGGTGTCGTCGACAGGAGCCCGCAAAGTTGTTGGGAATGTACTCTAGCTTAAAAGCAGGAGTAAACTCGGTCTCGAAGTTGCAAGTATCAGGGAGCCCACATCCATCAAACCATCGGGCAGGGCCAGGCGTGCCCAAGTACGAGAGAGCGTGGGGTGTTCGTTCAGTCTCACTTATCTTAGCAAGGTTGAAGTAGCGGTTAACCGCAACGAGCCAGGCCAAGGCAGAGAAACCGTCGCGGGCGCCTGTAAAGACAGGAGGGGGGTTAAGGCGGGCAGGGGTAACCATGACTGGTAGTGCAGATAGAAGTGCGGAGAGGTCAAAAATGTCCAGAGTGTAAGAGGGTACGAAGGAAAATAGGGGCAGGGAATGAAATTCAGGGCTGGTGTACAGAGAGAGCTGGGGCGAGGGAAAATTAAAGTAAAACGCGGGCAGTGAAAACGAGGAGGGAAAAATCAAGAGATCGGTGGAACGAGGGAACCTTTGCTACCATGCAACAGGCGAAGACTGGGACAGAGAAGTATAGAACGGGGACGAGAGTTGAAGCAGTGATGATTCCTGTTATTACTATGGTACAACTAAATATATATACAAAGTCGCCAACTAGGTTTCTAGGTGTAGTGTCATAGTGAGTCAGAGATGATAGAGAGTGACAAGGAATGACTAACTAGAGAGCAATGATAAACCTAATATGGAGGCCTTTCAAGTCCAAATTATCATATGGTGTTTGTTACATCTCTGCAGATCTTGACGATATCCACCGCGTCCATTAGAGGAGAGTGTATGTATGATACCAAGCATATAAGACAACCATTGTAACATTTTTTGTTTAACTATCCTACTAAACACCAACCTATTCTCCAAACAACAAAGTCTTCTTATTTTTCGCTCACCAATATCTTGAATGTGTTCATCTACTATTAAACTGTACCCATCACTGTAAGATTCGCCTGAGTAGTTCTTGTATGTGATCATCTAAAGCACTTGCACTCTCAACTGTATCTTTGTCGTGAAATACAGGGGAGAGATTACATTTTAAAAAAAAATTGTGCTATCTGTTGCTATTTTATCCTATGTTCTGTTGCCGACTGTGAAGAGATATATCAGCTATGGAAGTCAACACTCCGTTCCTTGGGCTTTGGATATTTTTTATATGCTTTTTTATATCCTCTGCACATGAAGGGGCCGCTACCGAAAAAAAATATAAACGTATATTTGTATTCTCAACTATGTGCTTGCTGTGAGATACAGTTGATAGATACCATCCTACATGCTCTTGTGTATGCAGTAAAGTATGAGCATTTTTAAAAAATTGTTATTGTTGGTCAACGTCATGACAATCCAATACATAAATATTATTATGGCTCTAACAAAACATTTCAAACAACTGCTTGATGACCATTGGACTTTCCTTGACGCTGGATGGCCAACAGTTACACCACGTAATAACCATCGTACTGTAAGCAAGGAAATTGGGTTTATGCCACAAATAAAAGAGACTCTGAATCGACGCCTTGGACCTATTCCAGTGTACTTCTTTCTTGTTGATATCTGGCCAAAAGTCAAGTATCCTGGGCCATACAAAGAAGTGGAGAAAGGTCTTTTAATGCTCTATCATCTTGTCAAAGGACTGTCTATGGAAGCAATGGAACCACACATGCCAAAAAGTAGTTTTCATGCAATGCACTCTGTGTTTTATAAGAAAGAATATACTTTGCACAATAAGTACATCACCAACTGTATTGCAACAATGTTCTCCACAATTAAAATACGCCTATTGTCTGCAAAGGAAAAGAATCCTGTATTATTTAAGCATGTCACATTGCATCTTGATGGTCATGATACAAGAGCAACATACAAAGGTGAGAGCAGTGCTGATATGTATTCTTACAAGCTGAAAAAGTCAGGATTACGCACACAGGTAGCAATGGATTGTAATGGCATGGCTTTATTTGTCTCCAAATCTGCATCTTGCAAGAACAATGCTGATGGAACAATGCTGCTGACGATGAAGTTGGACAAGAGAGTGCATGAGATGGATTGCATAGCTCTCGATGGAGGGTATCCACAGTTCTTAAGGAGGCTTGTAGATGAGTCTGATACTCTTAAATTCCAAAATTTCGCTCATCCATACCGTAAAAAGAAGAACAAGGAACTTACAGAGGAAGAAGCGTTATACAATACCACCTTTGGTAGTTTCCGCTCACAGATGGAATCTCTGTTTGCAGATCTTGGTTCCACATTTGAGAAACACAACAATCGTACTCCTGTATTGGTGGATAAGAAACAAACATATAATTTGCAGTTGAAGTTATCTTTGTTACTCTTAAACATGAAAAAGATGGTTGCTTTGTTAAAGATTCCTGCAGAACCAATTCATACAGCTTGGCTCCGCGAAGGATTCGAGTATCCGACGACAGAGAACGATGTTGAGCAACCAATGGGATATGTTGATGTTGGTGCACTAGTGGAGGATGGAAATACAATGGCACAACTCCAGAACGAATTTCTTGGTCTTGAACTTCATGATAATGTTGATGAGGACCAGTACTCTGATGAGGACACACCAATGGATCCACCAGTAATACTGCAACCCGGCCTTTCCATTGCGCTTTGAGGTACGTAGTACGAAGCGACAAATAGATGTTAATGGTAATTTGTAGACTTATTGCAGGTTTTTAAAAGAATAGACATACATAGCCTATTTAGTCAGCGTTGAGATACGGTATTAACTGCCTAGACGCTAATATGCACCGGTATCTATTATTAAAAGTCATGGTATTATTGTAGTAGATCGGATGCTATTCTATGCTATTCTACAACATTCCTTTTTATTTAACAAAGAGGATAAACACATGTACAAACCTACGTCATAAAAGAATACATAAACACATGTACAAACCTACGTCATAAAAGAATACTACATTCTTAACCATTTTTAAACACCGTCTTTAACGCCAAGCAGTCTTAATAAGCAAGATCTACGTCATACGAGGAACACTACGTTATTAACCACTTAGATGCCTTTTTAAAACTCTTTTGTTACTAAGCGCCAAGCAGTGTTAATAAGCAAGCGCTATTAATATCCAATGTGGCAGTGTCCCATGAATTAGTATAAATAAAGGACTCCACTTCCCTCTTGCTTAATCTTTATCTTATCTAGTAACCAACCAACCATTATCCATATCTATACAACCATCCATACCTATACAACCATCTTTTATTGCAATTCTTTATATCAGTGTACTAAGCAGCTGCAATCTACCACACATAAACTGAAAAGTCATTCACACCCACCATACCACAAGTACAATCTATATCGTTCATATCCAAAAACATGCAGTACGTTCAGCTTACAATCGAGCTCATCACCAAGGCCTTCGAGACATTTTCTTCTAAGAAGGGAGTGGAGTTTACCAAGAAAGATGCAAATAAGATCTTTAAGGCGCTTGATGGGGATAAGGAAGTGGAGAGATACTACTTTTGTGGAGCAAAGTGCGTCAAGTCCAAGCGTAAATGCATGAAGGAAGTTGACGATGAAGGCATGCATTGTTATGTCCACGATCCTGCGCGCAAGTGTCAAGGCACAACCATTAAGGGCGCTAATTGTGGTAGTGTAGCCAAAATTGGTCAAACATACTGTGGGCGTCATCAAGATCAAGATAGAGGTCATATAAAACGTGGTAACAAGAATGCACCTGTCGTTACGCGTCCCAAGTCTTCCAAGGCTTTAAAGAAGACACATACTTCTAAGTTTGTATCATCTGATGACGATATGACTTCCGAGGATGAAGAGCCGTCCGACGATGATGATGAAGAAGATAAAATTGCCGTCTCCTTTCCGTTGAGTCCAAAGGTAGTTGACATAACGTCCAAGAAAAATGTACCACTCGCTAATACAGGCATATGGATGCGTTATTCAACTAATCCAGCTTTTCTGTATGCAAAGAACTTTACTGTAAATGGCAAGTACATTATTAAGCTGAAGGAAAAGGATCTCTACATTGTATTGTGTCCACCTGAGCTCATGGGCAAAAATCTTCCTGTACCGGAAATATCTGAAAAAGAGGCACGTATATTACAAAAGATGGGACTCCAAGAGGCAACTCCTGCAGATGTAGAAAAAATAGAAGAGTCTTCTGCTGATGATAAGAAGAAGACTCTTCGAAAGAAAAGGCCTTCAAAGATGCCCAAAAATGCAGAGCCATCTTCTAATGTAGACGTTTCTAAGGATGGAAAAGATGAACATACATTTGCACTGGCCACAACGGTGCATAACATTAGATCAGAGAAAGACATAGCACGTGCGAAGGACAGAGGATGGATGATTCATCCTAATAACGACATGCTTGAGTATGCAACTAAGTTTACGATGAATGGCAAGTACATTGTCAGGCTATCTGGAAAGAATACATACGTTGGCCTGTTTACGCTTGATGCTCTGCGCGGTGTCGGTGATGTTCCAGAGTTGGATATCTTGGAACGCTCCATGCTTAGCAAGATGAAACTTCGACCATTGTCTGATGAAGAGAGAAAGACGCTTTTCAACGAGGAGATCGAAGTAGAAGAAGAAGTACCAGTAGAAGGACCAACAGATAAATCCAAGGTGATATGGAAAAAACTTAACAAGTACTTGGAATATTCCGAGAATGTACTTGTAAATGGAATGCACATTCTCAAGATGCGCAAAAAAGACACTGTAATCGGCTTGATGACTGATGACCATATTGCTGCAGAGAATGTAGAGTGTCATTCTCTTAGCCAGAAGGAAAAAGAGAAGTTGTTTGCTATGGGATTTAAACCGCATGAGCATAAGCAAAGCTTGCCACAGAAAGATGAGAGCACATGTGAGGATGATAAAGATGCTGAGGGCGATAAAGATGCTGAGGATGACAAAGATGCGGTGGGTGATAAAGATGCTGAAGATGACAAAGATGCTGAGGGTGATAACGATGCTGAGGATGACAAAGATGCTGAGGGTGATAACGATGCTGAAGATGATAAAGATGCTGAGGATGATAAAGATGCTGAGGATGTTATGTGGAAAAGGTACCCTAAAGATAAAAGCTCCTCGGGTATAATCGTCATAGATAAAGACGAAATTAAATGGACAACATGTTCGTTTGACAAGAAGCATGAATATGCAACCAACTACCTTTTCGACGGATGTCATCTGCTCAAGAGGTACGAAGAGGACATTATTGTTGGACTGCTGTATAAGATACCTGCAAACGGTGACAGTAACTATAGTCGAGACAAATTTACCAACAACAAACAAAAGCAGAAGTTAATTGCCATGGGGTTCACGATCGAGGAATTGCCTAAATTGTACTCTCCAGATGTAAAGTTTTGGTAGTTGTTGAGACAGATGAAGAGTAGATATTTTAAAAACTATCCAATTGTCAACAGTTGGCATTTGTGGTTGTATATATAGCATGAACTTTTTAAAAATGTAACATGTCTTCGACACTTCCACCTAGGAGGCCTTTCAAGTCCAAATTATCATATGGTGTTTGTTACATCTCTGCAGATCTTGACGATATCCACCGCGTCCATTAGAGGAGAGTGTATGTATGATACCAAGCATATAAGACAACCATTGTAACATTTTTTGTTTAACTATCCTACTAAACACCAACCTATTCTCCAAACAACAAAGTCTTCTTATTTTTCGCTCACCAATATCTTGAATGTGTTCATCTACTATTAAACTGTACCCATCACTGCAAGATTCGCCTGAGTAGTTCTTGTATGTGATCATCTAAAGCACTTGCACTCTCAACTGTATCTTTGTCGTGAAATACAGGGGAGAGATTACATTTTAAAAAAAAATTGTGCTATCTGTTGCTATTTTATCCTATGTTCTGTTGCCGACTGTGAAGAGATATATCAGCTATGGAAGTCAACACTCCGTTCCTTGGGCTTTGGATATTTTTTATATGCTTTTTTATATCCTCTGCACATGAAGGGGCCGCTATGTTGCAATTTGGCACTAACGGCATAAGGAAGTTATTAGAGGCGTCTTATCAACTTCTACGTGACAAAATACGTGCAGATGGATTACTTACCGAGAAAGACGCTGGTGAATATATGCTTAGAAAAAAGTGACGCTCTAAATTATAGACTTTTTAAAACCCTAAGTATACCTTTTATTATGTCACCAACAAAAGAATCTCTGATGAACAAAGCATTCAACCAAGTTTCCCACTTGCTGTCAAATGTGGGTAATCTAAAGTCTGCTCCACCAGGAAGTGTTGAGAGGAAGGGATTCACCAAATTCTCCAAACTCTTCTGCGACTCCATTATCTTTTGGGGTATATATAACTTTGCTGACGATACCACTAAAGGTACAGCAATTGGAAAATACATTGCTGAACTCCGGGATGCATTTAACCACACGGATTTAGATGTAGAATCCATAAAGTTTTTGGATGCTAGATAAGTTCAAATGGATGATAAGTATTTCTCTACGCGCATGGTCAAACGCCATAGAAAGTTGTTTGTTGGAAAAGAATACCAACAGGGTTTTATTGCCATCAAGGTTTCTTTAGATTTTTCCCGTGCAAAGAGAGTTGTGCCAATTTTAGCGAACATGTTGCCTACCTTGAACGAGAGCGGCATTGTTTTACATGATATAGACTTCGCCTATGATTGTAAGTATATTACCACACGGTTTTATGTAGAGAAATTACTAAAAGAAGGTAATAATACGGAAATTGTAGATGATGTAGGAAAAGTTGGACATCATTGCATTTCATGGAGAAGTTTAGAAGAGGATAGAAAGAATATCCGATATAAGGTGTATAACAAATTTGTCCAGATTTTGGAAAGTGCCGAGGTGCGAAAGCGCCTTGGTTCACGTTTGGAGGATTTGGTGGAAAAAGAAACAGCATTTGGACGACGAGTTAAAAAATATAAAAAGCATGGTTATAGTCGTATCGAGCTGACGTTTGAAGGTTCATCTTTGACATCTCTTCAGTCATATCAAGATGAAATGGATAAGACAAAAAAATTCTTAAAGGAGTGTAAAACATTTAAATGTTCATTCGAGACGCAATGGCAGGAGCGAGCAAAATGCATTACCTCAATGGCGGCTGTATATTTTCCAGAAGAGAAAGTCTTCGCTTACTGCCATTGGTGGAATTCCGTGTCCTCCAAGAAATATGGATATATGTGGAAAGAGTTTAAGAAGCCCGAACTTATTCCACTTTTGCTGGCTAACTTTTCCTTTAACAATAGACCTATATATTTTGTGGAAGGACATGTAGAAGAGGTAAATGGGAAAGATGAAGTTATCTTGGGCGAAATAAGGACATTTAAGCGCGAGCCTGGATGTACTGCCATTACACTAGTTGCTGGTTCGCAAAAAGGAATGTTTCCTTCGAGGGATGCATCTTCTAACGTCATTCGTAAATTTAGGCACGTTGGAATTGTGGAAGTTGACAACATCTCTATTGCATGGCCAAAGCGCGTTCATAACAAGGATAGTGCCCCGCTGGCAGATATCTTCGAATATGATGAAGATACAGTAGACACAAATGTGTTACATCTGAAAACTATTCATGTTTCGATGTATACTGCAGCCGACCAAATTTTAGAGTCTGATGAAGAGTATACCATTGTGGCGGCCGGTCTTAAAGAATTTCGTTCTGAACGTCGTTGGCATTTTATTTCAGCATGTGGCATAAAGGTGCGCGCAGGAAAATCGTTGGCAAAGATTTGGAGACCATGGCGTGTGGAGCATCTTCAAGGTCTACAGAGAATTGGTAGTGTGCAAGGTGTACCGTTGATGACATTTCGTGCAGTAAAAAAGGTTCGTATTCATGGCGAGGACGATATGAAATGCGAGCGCATTTGAGAGGTTTTTAAAAACTTTGGAAAGACTTTTGTTAATTATAGACTGGTATTATCATCTTCGTGGTTTGACATTTCCTCGTCATCATCCTTATTTGACGTTTGTTCATCATCATCATCTGAAGCAACATCTATTCCTACAAATTTCTCTTGCATCCTTTGTAACTCAAGACCATTTTCCAGTTTGTTTTGTACTGTAGCGGTTTGAGTTAACTCTGGGACAAGTTGCCTTTCTCGTGGATAATCTACTCCTTCTTCCATCCATGCACGATAATGTGGCAGCTCTTGGATATCCACTGCTTTGACAAAGTTGCGAACATTTAGCAAGAGAAGACAAAGGCGGAATGTAAGATTAAACTCCTTTTTGGATCCAACTCGTACAATCTCCTTATTATTAAACTTGGCGAATGTTTTCATGAGATCACCAAAGACAGCCTCTGATGTAGATCGAAATCCACCTAACATAGCATTAAAGTTGGATTCCTCTTCGTGGAGTTGCCGTAGTCGTTTCTTACAAATGGGAAAACAGAAGTTACGCTCGTCCAACTTTTCTTTTTCCACAATATCGCTAATGTGTTGTGTATATCCTCCATCGAGAGCAATACAGTCCATGCTATCGATCTTCTTACCAATGCCCATCTCTTGTAACATTTTCCCATCGTTGTTATCACGACATGACGCTGATTTGGATACAAAGAGAACCATTCCATTGGCATCGATGGCCACTTGTGTTCTCAAACCTGATTTCTTTAACTTATAAGAATACATTGCTGCTTTATCTTCCCCATATGTTGCTCGAGAGTCATGACCATCCAAGTAGAGAGTTACATGCTTGAACATTGGGGGATTTTTCCAATTGGCTGTTCGAATACGAATTTCCAACGAAGAGAACATAGATGCAAAACAGCGTGTAATCTCCTTCTCAAATAATGCACGTTCCACCTTGACGAATGTGCTGTATATCAAATGGAATGTGGACTTTGGCATATACTGTGCCATGGAATCCATAGTCTCTCCAGCGACGAAAAAGTACAGAAATGCAATTCCTTTCTCAAGTGCGTTATATGGAACGTTATATGGAACAGGGAAATAGTGTTTACTCCAGATGGTAGATAGAAAGAAAAACACTGGTATGGCTCCAAGTCTCTTCATCAACACCTTTTTCATATCCTGTATTCTTGCAATTGGTTTCAACTCTGAACGATGAAATGTCTTGACCTTTGGGCACATTGGCCACGGTTCATCAAGAAATCCCATTCGTTCTCCAACAGATTATCAAGCAGCCGTGCAAGTTTCGTTGGCGTAGGGTTTACGATGGTATCAGTCTCCATAATGTCGTTTTCTGCAAAAATAGGGATTATACACACGTAATTATGTCAATTATTCCCTAGAATTCCCCAGATATGTCATATTAAGAAATGGTGGGCATAGCTTAACAAAAGGCGAGAAAAATGGTGTACTCCCTCGACCAAAAAAAAGCGCTCTCCCCCAATTCTATTCCTCGATTACCGATATGTAAAATATGTTTATGTTGATACTCTTTCCTTACGTTTTGCTCTTGTAATACTGCTAGATAACTATGTCCATTTGGATTCTTTTGCTTTTGTATATGTATTCTTTATAGATATATCTGTTGTCTTTTTAAAAACTCCTTTCATAATCCTCTGTACAAATTCATGCAACTTCCATTGGTATTCCATAACATACGTAACTAATTCGACCCAAGACATTTCCCAATGGTGTTCTCTTGATACTTGATATACCATGTTTTTTCCCGGGAATATTTCTCTCAATGTTTGTATTTGAGGGCATACACAACAATATCTACTATAAATGTCAAGTTGTATCTATTCAAGGGAGTAATTGACAAATAAGTACATAGCGGGATGAGCATCTAGACGTCTTATCGCCGCAAATATATCATGGCCAGGCCTACACGTTTAACCAAAGCACGCCAGCAGGAAGTTGTTGCAGATTTTATTTATGAGAAGAATCTGGAATTGTGTATGTTTGTCTATTTGGATGAATTTTTAGATCATCATCGTAACCTCTTTCCACAAGATGCCACTATATTTGGCACTAACGGCATAAAAAAGTTATTAGAGGCATCTTATCAACTCCTACGTGAAAAAATACGTGCAGATGGATTACTTACCGAGAAAGACGCTGGTGAATATATGCTTAGAAAAAAATGACGACCTAAATCATAGACTTTTTAAAACCTAAGTATACCTTTTATTATGTCGCCAACAAAAGAATCTCTGATAAACAAAGCCATCAACGAAGTCTCCCATTTGCTGTCAAATGTGGGTAATCTACAGTCAGCACCATTTGGCAGTGGGAGTCGTCTTGGATTCCAATAGGTATATGTCAAGGGATACCAAAGGAAGTTGTAAGGATAGGTTAAGGCAATGGTGGAATGAGGTTTTAAAAAGATCACCAATACAATTACAAAGGGTAGATATATGGAAGCATAATGTCCAATATAGATGTAGATATTTA